GCTGCCATTCTACGGCAGCCCTCGGACAGTGATACACCCCCCCTTCCTTCTGTTCTGTTCTCATGGAGGCAGCTATCAACGGACATCGCCCAGCTAAGTGAACACTGAATTTTGTTTCCCATTCAGTTTGAGCTCCAACCGACCGCATCATTTTATACGGTACCGTTTATTCTAGAACTGGGACTGTTTACATGTGCATATTGGTATAATTTACTGTGAGTTGTTTGTACTGGTACTGTGCATTCTGGTATAATTATGTGCATTACTATTTGTTTTTTCTTCAGATAAATCTGATAATTGTTCCTTTGTCTCTTTACTCATTTATTTATTTATTTTAGAGTGTCCACACCCCTTCTCATTCTACATATAAAGGTATACCGGTGGCTTTACAGCCTACATTTTATTGATTATCTCTGATCCCCACAGTCAATTTGGTCTTTGCGACAGTGCGACACAACACCACTGACGCTAGGTGGCACCAAGCTAAAAAAAAATCCTATCTGTTGCCTCTTTAAATGATCCAGAACAAAATATAAAAGCGTGACAGTTCCTACTATTACACACACCTAATGCTGGTGGTATGAACAGCACATATCTTCATCTCCCAGATACAGATTTACAGCACCTTTAGATCTTTCTGAAATCTGTATAACACACTCATAGTTTACCATAATATCCACTATCTAGGTAGGCTCTATCTATCCTGATTTTTTTCGTCGGAGCTCACATCATCCAATAACTGCGTCAGCGTTCACTGGGAGTCCATTTCCCTACTTCCTGACCAAGGCTTTAGCAAAGTATGCAGATTAATGAGGGAGCATCCTCACGCACACTGCAGAGACCACATTAAAAAGAGGAAGAGAGTATGACTGGTTTCATATCATGTGTTCTTTCTGTCGTCTGTGGTTTAAAAAAAAAAAAAATCATGTCGGTTCATAAAAATGACCTCTGTCTTAATGTAAAAATAGTCATGGTGACCATGTTAGAGTTATACAAGCTTGTGTTTACATCCACACACAGATGTTATAATCTTAGCCTGAAAACATCAACAGCACATTCCCTGCTTCATGGCATGAGCATTGCTGCCTTCATTTTAGGTTAACCATTTGATGCTTTGATCACAAATTAAACCAGCTGCAGGCTAAACAGTATGTCAGCCTTACATGTGGCAGCCGGCTTCACTGCAGTGACCACGGGGGGATATGTAATGGAATCCGAGCCAATTCAACACTGAAGCGACGACCAAGTCATAAAAGGAGCCTATAATGTGTACTGCAGTGCCGTCTTGTATATCATGTCATAAAAGAACAACACGTCCACTATCCTCAATGGACACGAATGACAGTGCTGCCATATCACTTGTTATTAAGACTTAAAATAGACCAAGTTGTTTTTCCGCTAAGAACGCGATCAGCATCTTTTCACCGCAGCCCGATAAAACTGTCTTTATTTTCCATCATTTATCGCCTCGATCCTGTCATGCTGACAGCTGTGGGGGGAGAGGGAAGTATTCCACTACAGAAATGTGAGGCACGCTTCTTTAATGAGCGCACACATCGAAGACGGTTTTAGTACCGTGTCTATATATTTGTGTTATAGGCAAATGTGGCTTTCTACTGTGCCCAGAGGCAGCATGCATGCATTCACCACGCCAGAGTATTTACATAACAGCACTGCCTATCAAGCCTCTAAGCCAATGTGTTTATGTACAATACAATTAACATAGAAGACTGTGTGTGTGTGTGTGTATGTGTGTGTGTGTGTGTGTGTGTGTGTGTGTGTGTGTGCTGAATCATGCAGAGATATTTCCTACTACTAGGCTGCTGTTCTCACAGTTTAAGCAGAGCATGCTGCCAAAAAGGAACTTTTCATTTGTGCTGAGCTGAAAGAAAGAAAAAAAGGTTAGTAAGCCAAAGAATAGAGAAAATCAACTCAAGTGAGCAGAGAAATTCTTGTTGTGGACGGGGAGGAGATTAAATGCCAATCAAAGACCAGAATCAGCGGGGATGCCTGTGAATGAGTGCTTCCTGTTAATGAAAGCTTAAGCCTCAACGGTACGAAGTCCTTGCTGCTACATTAACTAATGGCTTTCTCTGGGGGACAACTAACAAGACAAAACAACCTGACACAGCCTTCTTTTTGGTGAGGCATAATTAGAGAAAAGTAGTCATGAAGGGAATACCTAATTGAATTTGTTTACATCAGGTAAAATATAAAAGTGCAAACATTTTGTTTAAGCTTTTTGTGGTTAGACTTCCTCTGCTCATTGAAGGAAGGCGTTGATTCAGAGCTGATTCAAAAAGAGATTCATCATTTGAGTAGCAACAAGGCATCCTTCATCCTGAACCCCCTCACCTCATCTCAAGGGTCTCTTGAGTTTGCTTTAGGAGGGACATTGGATCACAATTTACAAGCTGGGCTTCACAGACCACTTACTAGTGTGGCCATGTAGGAAGCAGGGAGACTTTTCTCAGCTGTTCCAAGAGATACCATGGCATCAGATCGGAGTGCTGAAAAAGCATACCTGGAGGTGTGATGTAGCACCTCTGGAAGGATGTCACACCTCCATCACACATACTGCTCTCAATAGATGGATCATGCTACAACTACAAACTGCAACAAAGCATCTTTTATGTAATAGATTACATCTTCCAAGAAAGAATAATGCAATTAGACTGAAACACTGTCTTTAACTTAAAAAGAAAAACATGTAGACATTGTAGGGGAGAACGAAATCAACCGTACGGATCAAATTTTGTTAATTTGTGCACAGCTGCATTTACCCTTCAGAAAATTTAACTTTAACTTTTCCAAGACCAGAATCCACAAGAAATTGCAGGTTTGTGTATAAACAGCCTTTGCATGCCGTGACACTTTTTTTCCCCCTCAAAATGCACAAGTGAAGGGAAAAGTCTTACTTGCATGACGTGAGTCTTTACGCACAAATTCACAAACCCTCGGTTCAGATTCAGACCTCTCCTATAATTCCTCTCAACCCCTACACACTGCACCGGATGGTAATTACTGATATGAGACCTGCTGTACAGAGCAGAGCATGTAATTAGCCTTCTAACCAGGGGCACAACTTAACAACCAGCCGTCTCTTCAAAGACCCAGGAGAGAAAAACACGGTCCTCCCTATCAATTTAAACTGAATTTTCTGTTTTCTGTCAGGAAAGAGGGTGACAATCAATTCTGTGATTCTGTGATCACCAACCTGTCACTTAATGGGTTAACAAAATAACCCAATTACGTCCGATTTATACAGGCTATAGAAAGGAAAGAGTACATTTGAGAGTCCTGCGGAATAACAATGATAATATTTCAAGTGTAATTCAAGTTTGCCTGAGATTTCTCTGCGCACAGGATCAATATCCATTTGTACCTGAGCATATGTTCGGCAAGGTGTTTTCAATAAAATCAGGTCTATTCTAACAAAATGACTCACTCAAAACTACATTGATTCTCTTGAGGTAATAAGTGGAGTAGCTTCTGAAGTGTAAATCAATGAGCATGAGCTCAAACACATTGCTGATGCAGGAATGTACTGGTTTCAACTTTTAATTCATACCAAGCATTGATTAGGCAGCCAGTCAGACTGGCCCTTTTTTTCCACGTGTCTGAGTTACAAAACAAAGGTTTAAAGCTTAGTGGATCCTTGCTCCATGAAAAAAGCAGGTGCTAGAAAACAATATAGGATCGTCTAAAATGGGTGAGCATGTGGGTCAAAGCCATAGCCATGAAGTCAACACTGGGGGGGACCAAATCTGCAGAAAACTCATTTCCTATTTCATTTGTCAAACTCACGTATATCTATACAGTTTACTATATAAATATGCCATAGGTAAAAGCAACTGCTGTCTCAAATAACACATGCAATGCAACATAATTGACTGACACTTTACTTAGACTTCACAAATAATGTAATAAAGACATTAAACTGTCTGTAAGCACCAATTTTTGTTGCTGGGTGGATGTGTGTCCGCTTAATGTGTGCTAGCTATAGCTACTGACAGGAATTTAGCATAACAGCCTATCAATTGACACTGAAATTGCCTTTTAAATCAGTACACCATGCATTTTGAGCATATTTGAATACTGAAGGAAATGTGTGTATCCTGGTATACACTATAGTTACAGCCTTGACATGGGAAATAAAAACCAACAGGCACGCCACCAGCACGGCTTCAATATTAAAAGACTTTGCAGACAATAGCAATGTATCCATTAGCTGTATGCAGCATTCATAAAGCCAGTCAAAGGAAGCAGGCAGATACTTAAGAGCCCGGGGAAGTGTCATTCTGTCTTCAATGCATTGCAGTATTTTCAGCCAGTTGTTGTGTATATGTATGCCTCTGTTCACCCTCTATCCAAACAGCAGCCCCACTCATGATCACCCAGACCCTGCCATGTCTGACCCCTCAGTTCAGTCCTGATGGGAGGAAACCACCACAAATATGCAAGACTGCCTATTTTGACTGCCCTGTCAAAAGAAACCAGACATTGCTCTGATCTCTCACTCAGCACCCATGGGTTTTGTATTTAACAGATCCTCTGGTGGACTGAGACATGTGCTCCAGAGTGCTGTTTCAACCCCAAACCCTTATAAGCAGAGGCTGAAATGAAGGCAAAGTGCAGCAGGAAATGCTGCTTTTTAACATCTGAACTTGAGACAGTGGCAGGTCAAGTTTACAGGGCTGCACTCACACTAACTACATATCTGGTGGCACAACTGCTGCCACGTTTGTCTCCTCAGGAGGTGGGTGAAACCAAGTGTTCTGGTGTGGAGAAAAAACACTTCAATAGTGTGGATGTGAATGAAGGCCACAGTTTTAAGAGACATGTGTTACTATTAATAGCATTAGCTAAATGGACTTCTTCTCTGTTGTGCTCCTGTGTCATATTTGCACAATTGGCCAAGGGTTTCGTGCTGTTGCACAATTCGTCTGTAATGTGGCACTTTTGCAAGTCAGTCTCAAGCGGTGTGACAGCCTACTCACCCAGCAGCAGCAGTTTCACTTCTCTCGCCGCCTTCTCTCCATCTTCTCTCAGGTTTTTATCAATCATTTTAGACCTCTCGGCCGCGGCTTTATCTTCCTGACTAACTGTACAACCCATGGTTCCTAGTGCGCGCTTCAGGACTGCTGCTTAGTGGGAAAATATCACCTGGGAAAAAATAATATCAACGACGGAGTCCGGCAGACCCGTATTTAAAAAACAAGGGTTGGAAAGTTGAGTAAGGCGACTTCCCTTTTTGATGAGTGGCGACAAACGTGACGGAGTCCGTTCATCCGCGAGACGGAGCGACAGTCATAGATTTCCTCGTGCGTTTGTGAACTTGGATTTCTAACGTTTAAAATTCCCAAACAGACGTTGGTTGCTCAGTCAGTTGGACAGCATCGGCGGTGTCTTTACGAGAAGTGGAGAAGTTGTCCAGCGGCCGAAAACAAAGCGTGAATAACTTTTTGTGGACGTGACTTTTAGCTAATTCGGTAGCTCCTACGGTAAAGCATCGGAACAGGTTAAAACACACGAAAACGGTCCACGAAGTTCAGCTCACACAAAAAAAAAGTATTCCAGCTGTTGAAAAACCGAGCATACGGATTCCTACTGCCAGTGAAGCTACCGCACACTTTTCAGATGCTGTTTATCTTTGCTGCTTTATCTCTCTTTTTGTTTTAATCCCTTTTGCCGTTACGCATTCTTTCCCCGTGTTGAGATTTATCACGTTTGAAGCCACACCCGTAGCAGCCGTGAAGTCCCCTCCGCCCGACAAACAGGGAGACAGCGCCGTCACCTCCCAACTCAACAGCAGCAGGGCCAACCTTCACCAGAAGAAAAAAAACGCCCACTCCCGGTGCTTCATGGGAAATGTAGTCAAAGATGGGATGCTGTTTCCTTCAAGAGCTGCCTGGGATTTCATATGAATTACTGCCCCCAGTGGCAAAATCAGGGGCTTATATGATTCCCCAGCTGAGAGGAGAATAGTAAAATCACAGTCTATACTGTTCACTGGCTCTTCCATACCTATATTACTTACTTAAAGTACAATTCATCCATTAATTATTTTGCAAAAGAAAGCAATTCGGATCATTCATGGGACAGGATGTAGGGATCATGCAAATTCATTATTCTTACAGTCAAAACTCTTAAAATGTAGAGATCTTGTGGAAGCACAGACAGTACCAATAATATTTAAAGCAAAAAAATACAATTTACTACCAGGAAATATTAAGAAATGATTCACTGAAAGGCAAGAGGGTTATAACTTAAGGGGAAATTTCACTTTCAAGACTGTGCATTTGACAAGAAGGGTTTTTTATTTCAACTCTTTATTTATTCATTTATTTATTGCCATATGTGTGAGTATGTATATATACATAGTCTGTGTTTATACATAGCTTGTGTAATTGTGCATAGTTTGTGTGTATATACATAATTTGACAAAGCAAAACACATCTGTCATGATTGGATAAGGATATAAAGATGAGATTATTTTTGAATATATATGAGGTGTATATCAGAATCAAAAATACTTCATTGATCCCCGGGGGGAAATTGTTGGCGTTACAGATGCTCCTTACAAGGGTAGAAAGATATATCATATAGGGCAATGTTAAGTGAAAATATAAGAAAATCTAACAACATTATTTACAAAATAAAGTAACCTAAACACGATTATTTACAAAAATATATATCCTATAGTAACCTAAACAAGATTATTTACAAAAATATATATCCTATAGTAACCTAAACAAGATTATTTACAAAAATATATATGTCGTAACCTAAATCAATATACACAGATACAGTGGCATTAAAATAGATAATAAAAAGAATATATACAGTAAAGATAAAATAAGGTTATTGCACAATTTAAATTATTGCACATATTGACAGTGGGTGTATATGTGTATGAATTTCTATTTTCTAGCTATTTTTGTAATTATCTATCATGCTGTAAGACAAATATTATTGGTAATTAATATAATATATTAGAATAGGTCTAGGAGAATAAATCATTGTACAACCTTATAGTGATGGGGAGCTACATAATTGACTATTATTAATATAGGGAGAAGGGGTAGGAATTAATAAATGTGTACTTCCTCCCACTCCTTTTTGGACATGTAAATCATCATTATATGTTGTTTTCAGTTTTCATGCTTCCTTTAGTAATCTGTTTTTTTCTTTATGTTTGTCCACCATGGTATGACTATTTTGTTTATTTGCTATTTACATGCTCGAAATAAACTGCTACTAACTAATTAACTTTATTTTTATATTTTATATTAATCATAAATAAACAAGTTTCAACCATTAAATGTGATCAGGTTTTGTACCTTGTCCACTTTTGTGTCGTGGTTGACTGACTGACTTGGCAGAGATGGCTGCCATCTTATTTTTTCCATGGATTAGTATATTGTGATCTTACTACCACTGAATGGCAAAAAACAGTGTACATGAATGAGGGCAACAGGCTTAAGTTAAGCAGGATGAAGTATAAGGTCCACTAAACCCCAAATGTTCACTGGACCTTATACTTCATGATGTATGATTTATGATATATTTGATCTTGAAATAATTTTAAGCCGTAAAATCCTTTGTAACTATAACTGTTGGTTATATATGTTTAGGTAAAAATGTACAATATTTGCCTCTGACAATATGAAGGCAAACTAAGACTCCAAATAGTCCCAATACAGACTGGATAATTTACACTTTAAGCAGATGCTCTATAAAAACCCAACATTGTTACACTGCATGGTGGTCATACCGCCATTGACAATGCCTACCACAGCTCTATAGTGTCACCTTGTGGACTGAGTCCTGACCCTCCCTTTTCATAAGCTATTATCTTAGTCTTATTCATGTTAAAACCATTTGCATTTTGCAAAAAAAGCAACACTGTTCATTTAGGTGAAATTATATGCATTTGTGAAATATAATACATATCAAATATATTAAATCAAATACAATCACAGTGTCTTTTTATTGCTGAAAAATATTTGCCTAAAAATTCAGGTTATATACTTCTTAGAGCTAACAAAACCTTAGTGGTTCGTCTAAAGCTGTTATCATTCTGCTTATTCACTCACACGATCTACGCAAGAGATTGAAGTACACTGAATAATGCATTATGAATTCAAGGTCACATCATTTTAGCCTTTTAATCATATTAAATACACATTTTCAAGTATTTCACACAATGTAGGTGAGGGTCTGAAAAACAGATTAGTATAAAATACAGATAAGTCTTAAATGTCTCCTGTGTCTGATGGCCTTATGTGACAGATGATGAGACATCAGATTTTAGTTACCGCATTATCTTTATTGCAACATTGTTTACAGTACAGTAACTGCCAGCAACATATTAAAATATATAGAGATACAAGAAAATCGACATGAATTGAAGGACAAAAAGGTTTATAAGCACTTTGAAAATGATTACATTTATATCTTTTAATCAGACTAAAACTTTAATTTGCTATTTACATTGTACAAACTAGATATGCATATAGAATATAAAGGGTATACATTTATATACATTATTTATAAATGCTGGCCAGTGTCAATATTTAATATGTTACTATTCGATCATACACATTTTCAGTAAATCACACAAAGAGGGAGACTAACAACACTGAGATCTAAATAGAGGTCCTCAGAGATCATCTTGTATCAGCCACTAACACAGTGTATCCCCTCACTTTGCTGCCTCATGTTTCTATTTTTTCCATGTTGTGAGGTTTTGAAGTGTTTTAAGTGTGTGCACCATTGGAAAACTCACTAAGGTCAAACTAGGAACAGTTGAGGGATAGAAATATAACCCTTGCATTGGTTATACATCACCTAACACTACGTTATGCCCCAGTGGCTGATTCACATGATCCCCTCTGCATACAGATACATAAAGACAACCAAATATCTAGATACAATGTCAAAACAAGGGATTAAAAGAGGTTTTCTGTGTAACAAATTGACTGGACAATACTCACTTATCCATACAGCACTCACTGTAGTCTGGTGTCACAGAGTTTATCATTAAAAAGTCAAAATGTAGGCAAGTACACCATCTCACTAACAACTCCGAGTTAGTAGGTTATGTCTGCCAAGAAGCAGCGAGGAAGTCAGAAACAACCCAAAGTATACCAATGATGATATGCCACTGACAATAAAAGACATGTAAGCAAAACAACAAACAAAAAAAGATCATTAACAGGTTTTGCATTTCTTAATCAGATCAGATTCAACCAATTAAACATTAAACATGACGTTTAAAACAAGAGTACATCTATCAATGGCAGGAGTCAAGGGTATAGAGTATAGACCCAGGTTTAACAACACTGATGCATATATAGTTCAAATACAATGGAGCCATGTTTTCTTTTTTTAAACACGCACACTTAAAAACCTCCAAAAGTACATCCATTTAATTAATTGTTTTATCTACAGAACGGACCAGAGGAGGAAACTAATGATCGCAGGGGCTTACAGGAACGCTAACCTTTACGTTATTTCAAGTAATTGTTGAGAAGACATCCATATTATACCATCGATACATTGCTAATTTGCTCGTAATCTACATTAGATTGATTACTTCACCAACGATTTAGGTACATAGGAGGGACGCGCCCTTAAATCACACCTATCAGATATGTGAATTCATCATCACAAATCATTTGCTTGTGTTTGAACTTATTAATGGCTACAAGAAGTTGTGCTTATCAACGGAAAGTGCTATTGCTAACCACCGACTTTTCGAGATTGTTAAAGAGACAGCGATCCCGTGTCTGTCATTTCTGTTAGGGATCAAGCTTGTGCTGGACGCAGAAATATTTACAGACACGAAACTGGTACTAACCACTTTGTGAAGTGACTAGGCTTGGGCGATATCTATTTCTTTATACGTTTAAACCTTCCTGACATTTCACTGGGGTATACGGCATATAATGGTATTTGTGTAAAGGGAAAAAAAACAAAAGAAAAAATGTAAAAGCTGAGCTACTGATGATAAAAGTTATTGTTGCATGTATGACTTTGTCTAGCCTACAATGCTGTGTGTTTAATATGCAATTAGCATACAGGTCTTGCTGGTTTAAATACTTATGGCCCATAGAATAATGAATAGACAGAAAAATAAGCGCACTGGAGGACCCGATTAAACTTGTTGCTGCAGCTGATATCGACACAATGGTGGGCTGAATGGAGTGAATGATGTGTTGAATCAAATCATATGCCTAATAAACTGCTTTTGCAGTTGGGATAAGTCATCTGAAAATATAGTTAAATGCGGCAAAACTTCCTAACAGGGGCAGAGGCATTTATCTTTTTGTGTAGTCCTGTAACGTTATCCCCACCACTCACAGTCACCATCTTTCCTAGCTAAGCTGCCTGTTCCACCAACAGACACTGACCTCTGGTGGAGCATGCTGTGCACTACAATACATTGTCTCAATACAGCATTTCCGTATGAGTTTACTACAAAGAGGAGCATTTGTACTTTTGATGGTATTAAAAACCATACCTTTAAGATTTCCCTATACCCTAGTATACTGTAATACTTTAATACCGCCCAAGCCTAGAAGTGACCCTGTTGTTTTTTTTTTGTTTTGGTTATCTCTGATTACTTCCAGTAAATCTTCAGAAACAACACATCCAGGTAAAAATCATCCCTGCTCGACCATTAAGAACACTGACACTGAACTGGGGACCATGTTGTCAGTCCCTACTGCATCTTCTGAGGTTTTTCATCAAGTAGAGATTAATAATAAAAAATATACATCTAGATCATATCGGGTAGGAATGTAATGATAAATGTGCTCACAAC